ATAGCATATTAGTTTTCAACAGATCTAGATAAGAGTACAAAGAACATCAACATATAGTATTTCACTTTACTGTAGAACATAAATTAATGACGAATACTAAGAAATGCTCTTTTTTTTAACATCAAATAGAATACTTAGGTCACTAGATCTAAACCAAAAGAGTGACCGTAGACAAATGAAAAATTAAAGACATCTAGGAGTGGTTGATCCCACATAACTTATGACAACTCTGGAGATTCTTAGGCTTAACAAGTTATTATATGTGATTTGTGGAAGGCTCTGTCAAATTTTTTTAATAACTCACGTTCTTCTTAAAGAAGGATACTTTTAAGTGATCTGAATGTATATACAATGTGTTTGAGGACCTTGAGTGTGCCATGGTCACCACACTAGTATTGATTTTTCATGATTTCTCTTAACCTTTTATATTGAAAAGTGATGCATCATAGTTGGATGTGAGAGTTGTTATGATGTAAAAAGAACAACTAGTGACTTTTTTCAGCATGACCTTACCTCCTTCAGGTTGTGTCTAGTCAACTTATGAAAGAGAGCTGATGGTTATTATTTTTGTTGTCTAAAAGTGAAAGTATTACTTGATGTTCTACTAATTCAACATTTACATGGACTAATATAACATCAAATATTTATTTGATTAGTGAGATGTGCACAATCAATATGATAAGTGAGTGTCAAAGCTCATGGGATATTTATTCATCATTTAATATAAGGAGGGCTGTCACAATAAGGTGGCAAATGCTTTATTTAGATGCCCCAACCTAAAAAGATCTCATGATATTTTTAATCTCTATCACAAAGTAGTTGGACTTAGACATGGAAAAATAAGAAGTGTTAAATGGTCAACACCTCGCTAACATCATCTAAATAATAGATTAAGATACACTAACCGACCCATATTACATATTTGTGAATGACCTTTTGTTATATAAGGACATGTTGACATTACTAAGGTCATCGATTCTTATTCTAAATTTATTGGTGGAATTATATGTCAAGTCATTGAGGATCAATGTTAGTTTCTTGACAGCATATTTACAACTAGCTTAAATTTTTTTCTGTTATGAAATATAGACGGATGTGAAAACTCACATCAACTAATGTTCTATTTGTCTTTGATTCAAATCCTCCACACTTGCTCTAATAAGATTACTACAACCACTACAAATCTCAAATTAGATATGAAAAGACATCTCCACAAACTTTGTGAAGAAATTACTCAAGTTTAAGGAAGTTGACACAATTATAGTGATTGTGGATTACCTTAATAATTATAACCACTACATACTTTGAAGTAAATACTTATTGTTAGTCAAAGATGTGGTGACTAATTTTGTCAAAGAGGTCATATGCCTACATAATTTTTTCTTCTCTATTGTTTCGAATTGTAATAATAGCTTCACTAACTTTTTTTGAGAGGAGCTCCACTCACTACAAAGAATTCTGCTTAACAACTAGAGATAGATAGTCAAATTGATTTAGTCAACTATAGTTTGGAAAGATATTTGTGTTGTTTTATAAATGATAAGCCTAAAGAATAGAGCACATGGTTCTTATTAGATAGAATTGAGCTTCAACATTACTCACCACACATCCATATAAATGTTTTTATTTCAGGTGGTTTTATGGTCAAGACCCTTCCACTATCATCCATTACGGATCTTTGTCATCTCCATGCAATGAGGTTTGTAAGATGTTGAAATGTGATTAAATCCTTGCTCTTCTCATGAATCATTTGGCATGAATGTAATTCTATATGAAGTTTCAAGTCGACAAATATTAAAAAATAGTGTAGTTTGAGGTTAGTGAAGTTGTCTACCTCAAATTTAAATCCTACAAGATGTGAACCTTAGCATAACATGTGAATGAGAAATTGGGCCCTGATATTTTTAAACTTTATATTGTCCTTTAGAAGGTAAGATATGAGGCATACCAACTTGAGCTACCACAATATATTACCATCCATTTAGTTTTTCATGTATTGTAGTTGTAGAGAGCCTTGGTATTAGATGTATCACTTCAACCACTCTCGAGCATCCTCACAGAAGAGAAGAAGTATTGCTCGAGCCATATCACATATTTAGCTCCAAAATGATCTCATCAGATAGGTTTCTCCTCATAAAATGGAAAGGCCTGTCTAAGTTTGAAGCTACATAAAAATTGACAACAAAGTTCAAGACATAATTCATAAAATTCTAGTTTGAAGAGAAGTTGACTATGGACAAAGGTAGTATTGATAAAGAACCACTCACTTTCTATCTAAGGCTCAGGAAAATATAGTGCTTAGCCCAATATGACAAACCCTAACATAAGAACTAAGGGGTGAGACACGAGTACAAGCATGAAATAACTAAGGTACATCGAGTGATCCCTCGCTCTCCTTACCTCACTACCTCTTTTGTGCTTGATATCTCATCTTCTCTCTAAGAGTGTGCAATCAATAACATCCCCTCTCCTCTAAACCACCACAGATTAATCTCCATCTTTCTTTTTCTTATTTCTCTCTATTTTACATGTCAGACTCTTGTAAGGTTGGGACCTTATGACATATCTAACTCTTAATTTCAATGATTTTGAAGGTCTAGTTGTAAATAGTAAAATTATCAAATACATGTTGGGAAATTAATTTAATGGTCTTATACACATCCTAATATAATTTCTACTAAGAGCGTGATAAATTTTCTTATATAATTTAAAAATATAGATATTTATATGTAGTTCATTGAGTATTATATTATCTCAATTTTTTTTTTGTTAATTGAAAATTATGACTTTAGTTGATTTTCTTCCTTCTATGTTTATCTCTTCATATTTTTGTCATTGGATTTAAAAGGAGATCAAGCAAGAATTTTGATAGAAAATATTAAATCCATTGAAGTTGAAATAAAATAAAATATAAAGAAGTTGGTACATGACATATACTTTGTTCCTAAATCAACACATAATTTATGTAGTTTAGGTCAATTGATTGAGTGGGATTATAAATCTCATTTTGAAGATGACATGTGACTCATTAACACGAAGAAAAGATGAATATGTATTATAAGTTAGGAAAACAATGTTTCATCTTAAGATTTTAATACTTATTGAATTTGATATGATTATAAAAATAAACTATTTCTACTCTATGAAAAACAACACTAAAACTAAGACATATTTTCTACCCAACAAGTACTAGTTTAAACAATAGTTTATATTTTGTATTATTTACTTATTATTTTTCTTAGATGAGTTGAACTTTTTTTGTTTAAAAGTTTAAAATATTTTACGAGTTTCTAAAGGCTAAGGCTCTTGTTTTTGCATATTTTAGAAATATTTTGTATTGATTGAGGAGGGAAATTTTTATCTTATAAATTTTTACCTTTTATAAACAATATGACACCCGTAGGTAACTAATAGTTGAGAAAACTAAAAGAAAATGATATTTCTGAAAGAAATCATACAAAAATAATAGAAATGACTATAGGTATACTTAGTCAAAGTTAACTTCAAAATAATTTTTGAGTAAAAATAGTAACAATAATAGTTTATCTCCATATCATCTCTCCAACCAAGTCTGTATTGAATATGACTTGTTATGAAGTATGGTACAAAATAAATTGCAGTGTAAATACTTTAAAGATATTTAATTGTGTAGCAAATGTCTTGATTGATTTTGATGAGGATGATAATATTATTGGACTCTAAAACTAAAACAAGACATAAATGAAGATTGATGACAAAAAATAAAAATGTTATATTAAATCCATTTTGAGGATGAACCCTTGAGTTAGGAATCCCTTTGTTGGCCTTTTGAGAATGTCAATTTTCTCGTTGTTAGTTGTTTGCATGGTTTAAAATGCACTGCTTTGATGCTGATGTTTGAAACCCTAGAAACATTATGTCCTCCTATTTATAATCTGTCCCTAATATCTCTTTGACTTATGCGTCATGTGACCCACATGCCCTCTAACTCCTTTTGTCATAAGGCCCATCAAGGTCATAACATAGTTTGAATACAAAAGGGGGAATATATATAAATATATTGGCTTTAATGAAGAAAATAAATGTTATAAATTATTTATGAGAGTATTTTTTAGAATTAAGAGAAAACTTAAATTCGATATGTGTTTTCCTGAAAATAAATGAAGGTCAACATAAATGAAGTTGTGACACTTGAAGCCTCTAGTTCATCAATGTTTTCTTAGAGAGAGTGCCAAATGTATTTTAATCTAGACAACCAATATAATTTCAGCCTTAAATTCAACTTTAAGAAACCTGAAATATTTGACATATATGATTCATATATTTTTGCTTTTATAGTTGTAGAATAAATGAGTTATGAAAAGACTCAAGTCAAGGAAGAATGAGAGAAACTTATGAAGGAGGAAAAAACTTCAATAAACAAGAATGATACATAGGAGCTTGTATATCTACCACTGAATAATGAAGCCATTGGTGTGAAATAAGTTTACAACTGAAATGGAACTTAAATAAAGGTGTACAGAAATAAAAGATGAGACTTGTTGTAAAATAATGTGTAATAATATCTTTGTCTACTTTGAACCTTTTTATTTTGTTGCTAGATTTGAAAATTTTAAATTTATTTTGACTTTAATAGAACAAATGAGATGGTCAATATTTAAGTTTGATGTTAAATGTACATTTATAGATGATTATTTAGATGAAGATTTATGAGTAATGTGAAGATTTATGATTGATAAGAAAATGAAATCTATATGTTAAAAAAAATAATTTGCATACACAAATAAATGCTAAACACATGATATGATGTTAAAAAAATATTATTATCTTTGTAAGAATAATTTTTATAGAAGTGAAAGTGAACCAACTCTCTATATAAAGATGAAAGAAAATGACTTTTTTCTTATGTGCATATATGTAGATGGTATTACATAACAGGTATCTCATTCTTTTTACATGATGTCCAAATTTAAGATGATAGGTTTAAATTTACTTCATTATTTTTTTAGGGTTCAGATTATTTAAAAGGACAATAATATATTTATCCTGCCCCACTGATAGACCTGCGGGCACAGGACGATGCTGCCGTCCAGGTTGACGTCCGCTTCCCCAACTTACTGGAGGACGTGAAGATTGGAATCAGTCTGGCTTACCTTGCCGGGCACAATGGGAGCGTTGACCTCGGTGGCAGCGAGCTCCCCCTTCAGGGATCTTCACCGCCGTCTCAGCTATCCCAGTCGCCATCCCTTCCGGCGCTTGCACGGTGCTCATCCGCCACCGGAGGTTCCTGCCGGAACAAATCAAACTCAACCTGCAGCGCCAGAGGTGAGCGCCGCCGCCATTCAGGCTAGGAGCGAGCATCCGTCGATCCGGGGAAGGAGAAGAACCAGAACGACGAATCCAGATCTCCATGCCGCCCCCCCCCCCCCTAATATTTATCCTGTCGAAAGCCCCGTCGTTGAGGATCTTCGACGTCGTCGGCGTGACGAAACGCAGAGAGACTGCGACCTCTATCGGCGCGAAGGTACTGTAAACAGAAGAATATATCTACGCCACGGCCATGGCGTCGCTCCTGCAAGCGCACGCAGGAAAGAACGTCAAAAGATGCAGACGAAACATCCAAGAAGACCTTCATTAAAAGCAAACAGTATTTTAAAGAAAATTGTGAGTTTTGATGCAGTAAGATATGGGCTGCTGTTCAACTTCCAATGAGGACTGAATCTGGCTCGACTTCTGAGACAGTAACTGGTTTTTGATGGAGAAATTCGAAAAATTATTTCTACCATCAGTATCCATGATTATAAGTATGTCCAGGCCCGTTAATCGCTCGACACATGCTTATACAGCATTAAAACGAATCTTCTTATAAGCAAAAATCCAACTCATGCCTGAGAGCTTGGACTTGGACTTGGTTCGCTTCCTAAATCAGCCGTTCATAATCCACCAAAACTTTGGAACTAGGAAATCTAAAATACAATATTTTTCTGATTTTAAACCCATCAAATACCTAGAAATTAGGAAGAAAGTGTTTTATATTTGCCACATTTAAAAATAAACTCTCATAAACATGATCACATTGTACCCCACGTTCATAGTGAAAGAATCATTTAAAAGTTCTGTATAGTGCTCCATATGATAATCTTTTATGACCACTATTTATGATATCTCTAGACTTATATCTAACCCAATCATTTATGTCCTTTAGGGAATGAACTCAAATAGAATCAAGTTCATTGATCATGGGGCACAAAAAACATCAATCATCTATCTGAATTTATCCTCCGATCTATATCAACATGCTTGCACAGTGAAGCATTAAATTCACATTTGCAAAGCCATAGAGGAATGGGATGTGGTAGTGTACTTTGTTCATTAGAAATCTTTAGAAGCACAATTTTGTTTGATGGGTTATTCAAAGTGGGTTCCAAAAATTGCAACTTCTTGAGCATGAAAGTAGATGAACCTAAACCAATGTAGCTACACACTGATTGATGTCATAGATGATCACCCGTCATGTCAAGTGGGTTCCACTTATGTTGAGCTATAGTTTTGGGCCCCAAGTTTGCATCAATGATACATAACCAGTCAGGCTTCCTACCCTTTTCAGCACATCGCCATCTCGACCAAGCAACATACTCGTGCCTTTTTCTTTATTTTCTCATTCTAAAGTCTTCACAATTATATATATATATATCCAAGTTATAACATTGGATCATTTACAATCCAATTAACATCCTCCCCTCTTGATTGCTAAAATTTATACCCTTCGTGAAACTACAAGAAAAATAATTAGATCAGTCTAAGGTTAATTTGCCATCCATAACTCATTTCTCTCATTGAGAGGAAGTAAACTCTCTTTGGTACTGGTAGACGTGTACCATTTTATTAATGGCTTTGTAAGGTCATCTTGAAGGGGCTGGCCCCTTGTACTAACGACTCTTACGCTATATGTCCAATTTAGAGGACCTTATGCATTAACGATGCAACTTGAGGGCACCCAAAACCGTAGATGGGGACTACATGCTCAGAGATGGAAGTTCTTCATCGAAATAAATAAATAAAAAAGGTTTTTTTATAGTGTAGATAAATTGTTGAAGATGATTGCTACATGGTGCTGATTTTTTAGAAATAGTGTAAATATTTTGGGAGTAACAGTCATGGAAGACGTAAGTAATTGATACTGAGTTTAAATACCCTCATATTTTGTCCTAAAAAGAAGAACCATCACAAACATATTTTTAAAAAGAATGTTCCTATATATATATATATATATATATATATATATATACCTTAAACACATGGATCACTTTGTAAACAAAAGATTTTAAGACATCGTCCTTATCTGCAACTGGTTCTGTGATGGGAGGACGGCAGCCCAGCTAGCTCACTTTGATGGAACTGGCGGCGGCGGCCGGAGGCCGGCGTCTGGTAGCGGAGTCTTTCCGGCGTCGACGGCCATTGGCATCGGTGAAGGCAGCGGCGGGGGCTGTCAGTTGGGATCAGACGGCGTTGACTTGCGTTAGGATTATCTTTAAGCGTTTCCGTCACAATCAAATCAGTGCCGCTAATTTTTTCACCGAAGGGGACGACGTCAGTGCCTCTCTAGATTCGGCCGTGACCTTGTTGCTCTGTGGAACTGACTGTTTCTCACTCTAATGACCCTATGACGAGAGAGAGAGAGAGAGAGATAGAGGGAGGAAGAGAGAGAGAGTGACTGCGTCAGTAGCCTTCCTAACTAGCTCGATGACGTAATGAGAGAGAAAGTCTCTGAAGCGACGTCCTTGACGGAGCATTTAATTTCCACCCGACGGTCCGGAAATCATTAAAGCTGAGAATCAAAGAGGGAAAGAGGATGACAGTAAGGCAGGAACTTACCGTCCACGTGGGCACGTAAAAACATGAACAGGTTCACATTGGGGTCAATACCGCGAAGTACGCGGGTCAATTCAGTGCAAACCAGCTCGTTCCTTTGAAGACCTTTGTGTATGATGGAAAAAAAGTCAATGTGCAAGAGCAGATGATCAGCGAATTACCAGGCTACACAGAACCACAGACAGAGAGAAGCGATCAAGAGAGAGGAGAGGAGAGAGAGAAAGAGACGGGCTTCGTCAAGAGAATTCATGGCGGTGGTGGTGGTGGCGGGGGAGAGGAGAGAGAGGGAGAGATCTGTCGAGCTGCTGCGAGGCCTCCTTCATGGAGGGCCGCTTCTGGGGGGGGGCGGCAGCGCAGGAGAAGGCCAACCTGAAGCAGCTCAAGAGGTTCTCGTCGTCCCCCACCACGTCCCCACGGATCGCCGGGTCAACCATCCTCAGCACGCGGTGGCCCTCCTCGGCGGCGAACCCGCCGCTCCACTGGCAGAGCTCGGCAGCGGAGAAGACCCTTCCGGCGAGCAGCTCCAGCAGCAGCACCCCGAAGGAGTACACGTCCCACTTGCTGCTGGGCTTCAGGTTCTTCAGCGACTCCGGCGCATGGTACGGCGATGCCGCCGCCGACGAGTCCCCCCCGCCGGCGGCGCCGCCGCAGGAGAGGCAAGGGCTGGCGGCGGGCCCCCCCGGAGCCGGCGTCTCCGGCTGGCTGTTCTGCGACAAGGTCGAGCGCTTACTCCCGAAATGCCGCGCAGAGAAGCTCGGCGTGCCGCCGCCGCCGCCGGCGACGAGCCGCTCGATGGCGAAGTCTCCGACGAGGGGCTCCATGTCGTGGCGAAGCAGGATGTTGCTGGGCTTCACGTTCCCGTGGACACACTTCTTCTCGTGCAGGTAGGCGAGGCCCCTCGCCACGCCCCTCGCTATCCTCAGCCGGTTCTCCCATGGCAGATGGAACGGCGAAGTCCCCATCTTCCCTGAAAAGAGGCGGCGGAAGACTGGTCAGAAATCCGGTCGTCTTCCTGTTGCTTCTACTGGATAGGACTACGCCGATCGGAGAGAGAGAGCTTACGGTAGGAGATGTTGGCGAGGCTGCCGTTGGGGAGGTAGTCGTAGATCAGGAGTTTCTCGTCGGCGCCCCAATAGAACCCGCGGATGCTGAGCAGGTTGGGGTGGCGGAGCTTGGCGATGGTGCGGACCTGGGCCTCGAAGTCGCGCAGCTTCTCGACGGCGCCGCCGGTTTCTCCGATGCGGCGCACCGCCAGCGCGGTGCCGTCGGCCAGCACCGCCTTGTACATGATGCTGGAGCCCCTTGCACCGAGGATGTAGGCCGAGGCCTTGAGCAGGGTCTCCAGCTCCAGCTCCGCTTCCCCGTCCACAGTCACCAGCACGCCGCTCTGCTGCGGCGGCGCCGCCAGCGCCGCCGCCGCCTTCTTCCTCTGCTCCGCTTTCTCCAGTGACTCGGCGTCCGTGTCGGAGCAGGTGGAGGTCCCCTCGCTTTGGTCACCCCTCTTCCTGCCCAAACACAGGAGCGAGAATCCTCCTCTCCCCCCTCCTCCGCCGGCGGCGCCGCCGTGCGCGGCGGTCGACGGCGACGGCCATGGCTTCGTCGCCCACTGCTGCTGCTGCTGCTGCCGTTGCTGGCGCCGCTTCTTGGCCCTGTAAACGTAGAAGAACACTACGAAGAGGAGGGCGATTCCACCCAGATCGGCGGCGATGATGCCCACAATGGTGGCGGGCTTGAGACCTCTCTGACCACCCGGCTCCCTGGAGTGGGTGCCGCCGCCCACCGTCTTGGGTATGGCGGCGAAAGCCGGCGGCGACTCGGCGACAGCCGGAGCAGCCGGCGCCGCTGCTGCGGCGGCGTTCGGCGACGGTGTCGAGGGCACGGGGCAGAGAATCTTCAGCGGCGGACCACACAGCGCCATGTTTCCTTCAAAGGAAGCCGGGTTCTGGTAGAGGAGAGGACCTGAATCGGGGATCTTGCCGGCGAGATTGTTGAAGGAGAGGTCGACAACGGCGCCGGAGGGGAGCTCGCCGGCGAAACTCGCTGGGATCTCGCCGGAGAGCTTGTTGTAGGAGAGGTTCAGGTACCGGAGGCGACTGGAATCGCTGGCGACGAGGTCCCTCGGAAGGGTGCCGTTGATGAGGTTGGAGCTGAGATCGACGAACTCTGCGCGAGGTAGTCCCCCGCCAGCGAGGCCGCCAGAGAGGTAGTTGCCGGACAGGGAGAGTACGGTGAGGTTCGGGAGGGAGAAGACGCCGGCGGGGAGGACCCCCGTGAGGGCGTTGTCGGAGAGGTTGAGCAGCTGCAGGTCGGTCATGGCGCCGGCGGGGACCTCGGGGATGCTACCGGAGATCTCGTTACCGGCGAGGGACAGCACGCGGAGCTCCGACGAGGTGGCGGCGGCGGCGGAGGAGGAGTTGCGGAGGAAGAGGGAAGAGGGGAGGGAGCCGCTGAGGGAGTTGCCGGAGAGATCGAGGTGGCGGAGGTGCTGGATCAGGCCGAGGTCGCCACCTATGGAGCCGAGAAGACGGGCGTTGGGGAGGCCGAGGCCGACGACTCGCGAGGTGCCATTCTCGCCGGGAATGGCGGCGCAGGAGACGCCGTTCCAGTTGCAGGGGTTTTCGTCGTCGTACTTCCAGGAGGAAAGCACCGCCAAGGGGTCGCTTACCACCCCGTACTTGAAGCCCAGAAGCAGCACCCCGTCCGGGGTCAGCGCCGCCGCCGGAAACGGCGGCGCCAACAGAAGCAGAGCCACAGCCACCACCAGCAGAAGCCCAAGAGGAAGACGAGAAGAAGCCCCCATTCTCCACGGGGGGAACAATCTGCAGAAGAAACCGCAGCTTTCGGTCGTCATCTTCTTCTGTCGCCCCCTACTGCATTATCTACTTCTCCCTCTCTTCGTCTCTCTCTCTCTATCTCTTCATATACAGGCTCGAAGAGAGAGAAGCGCAAGGTGAGCAGAAGAGGAGCTGGCGGCGGCGGGTAGAAGAAGCAGGAGGAGCCGCCGAAGAAGAAGCACCTGCTACATTAGCCTAGTCGCTCACCGACTCTATTGAAATAAAGACGAGGACCCTCTTCCCCCCCAACTCTCTCTCTCTCTAGCTGTTTCTCTCTCTCTCTCTCTCTCCTATCCCAATAACTGGTGACTATGATGATCGGGGATCGTCGGATGGACGGTCCAGATCGGACAATGCCGCACGTGGGAGTGTGGGCCTGCACATGCGCAGCCGCTACGTAAAGGCACGCCCTTTTTTCCACTGTGGTCTCTGACCCGCCATAACTAAAACGGCACTTAATGGGAAAGCCGACATATTTCAATTAATAAATGGAAGAGATATAATTGGAAAAGTACCCTCTTAATATTAGACAGCGACCCCTCCTGCGGTTGCCCGTTTCGGGGAGGGTTGACCCTGCGGAGTTCAGACACCAAGGAAGGCGGGTCGGTAGGCAAGTGATCAAAATTTTGCTGGAAATAGGGTATCAGAAAAAATAATTTAGACTAAGATGGGTTTTACTAGAAATAAGATGTCGGGAAAGGTGATTCGGTCTTTGCAGACCCGCATATAGATCCGAAATTATCGGCGGCGCAGCGGGGGAAGGGAACAATTGGGCGGGAATTCCTTCGGATTCGCATCAAAAACTGTCGAAACGTGGCTTGGGGGCTGATCGTTCATATCTCGCCACGTTTCAAAAATCCGCCGTTTCTTCAAACCCCTGCGATTGTGGTGACCACCCAAAATGGAAAAAATATTATACAGATATATATATATATATATCTCTCTCGCTAAAGAGACAGTTGACCCTGGGCGAGTAGTCTAATGTTACAAACATTAAGAGGGGCAAAAAAGATGAATCAAGTCTTCGAGGTATTACAGAATAAACCTACAAATAATTTATTATGAACTGAATGTATGAGTTGTCAAGGTTGTCCATAAGAAACTAGAGGAATGCGAGTAGGGGAAGAAAGTCAAAACCTTTTTTAAGAATTCACAGTTCTCATGAGGGTTATGTCTTGTGCATGTATTAGTTTCTCCAACGCATCATTGAAACATACCCTCAAGAGGACTGTGAATTCTTTTAAAAGGTTTTGAATGGCAGAACCAAGTTCTTGAGAAATGCAAGCAAACTAAGATCAGATGGATCGCCTCCATTCCTTTTTTAGAACTTGGCCTACTCCTTAAATCTCAACAAATTTCATTTCGACTTTCCCCATTTAGCACTATAACTAGATTTTATCAAAAGTTTGTCAACTCTAATTGTGCTTGGTAATTTATTCAGTAGTAATTTAGTTGCCTACAAAAGGGATCCAAGGCTATGGATGTGTGTTTAAGTCCATCTCATCTTTACTAATGGTGTCAGGGTATTATTTAATGTTAGTGGCTTACTATCATCTTTATTTATTCAAGGCTGGTACATCGAGTGATTCAAGGTCGTGCAGATGATCATTGTGAAGCAATGCATTCATTCTCACCAACATCAAATTATTTCTTATGTTGATCCATATCTTAAGGTCGATTCTTCAGGGAACAAAAAAAATCCAGAGGCAGCTCCCGATTCTTCAGTAAACTAAAGCGGCTGCATGTATCACTAATTGATCTTGTCATCTTGGTAAGATGTCATCAATAAAGTTGCTCCGTTGTCAGGCTGAGATTGATATATTTTATTTGCTAAGATTCGTTCTAACATTAGTCATTAGAAGCATAGAATATTGACAACATGGATAATGGATGATGCGGTTAATATTACACAAGACTTGAAATCATGGATAACTTCTCGCTGTTGATGCTGGACTTACAAGTTTTGACACAAAACACCATTTACGCTGATTGATTTAATTAAATAATTGAAATTTCATCTTTACTTAAAGTCAACGGGTGATGGGGTCCGCAGCTGATAGTTTCTACTCTTTATAAAAGAAAAATAACGCTACAAACGTCGATTCGAAGGTAGAGAATGCTTAGAAAAACAGTTTTCTTCAGCATCGGTCATAAAACTGAAATCATTTTTGCTTCTCTGGTTGCCTCCCTCAAGAGCAATCGTAGACGAGCATATAATCACTCAAGATACAAGAATACGAATCTACAGTCAGTGAGTCTAAGGAACATTCAAGTAAATTCTAACGCTCAGGCTATCAGGAAGAAGACGTCATGGGAGGTCCTCCATCACGGCTTGCCCCTGAAACTAATTTAGTGATGTCTCAATCGGAAATGACTATGGTCATCGTAAAACGTATAAGAGTTTGTACTTAAACGTATAGGAGTATGCACATGGAATACGGTTGAAAAAAGACTAGGAGTCTGCACTTAAACTTATAGGGGTTTGCACATATAATACGGTAAGTAAAAAAAAAAAAGATTATGTACTTAAAACGGACTGAATTCTATTGATCTTATGTCCTATGTAAGCTGCGAAGATTTACCAAGATATATATTAAGGTTCTTTGTAGATTTATCAAAACATGCTCAATTTGCATGAACAGACACGTAACTTTGGAAAACGCGCCCAAAACGGACCTTGTTTCTGTTGACCTTTTGTGTCCTAAACGCATATACTAGAAAGGTTTATCAACAACTACACGAATTCTACCAAGATTATTCATGACATATTCGATGCGAGCTCAGGACCTCGTGAAACCAGTTGCACCCACATACCCACCCACTTGTCGTTCTACCACCCCGCCTCACGAGCCGTCTTGTTTAATCTCCCCCCCCCCCCCCCCCCCCTCGCAGGAGGTGACGCCGCAACGGCCAGAAGGCCGGCCAAGATCGCCGAATCACTCACATGGTGCGTGAGCTGTCTCCCGTGTCCCGACGGGGGCAGGGGCAAAGCAACCCTATTTCACTATTCTTTATTCCTAGGAGTTCAAAACTCTTCCAGGAGCCCCTGGACCATGTGAGCATAGAGCTGCTTCGTTTCTCCCCCAAACCACTCCCAGCGGGCTTGTCTCCTTCCAAGCGCAACAGACCCGCAGAAGCAACAACTCCACCCTGGCCTCACGAACGGCACTCGTAGTCTAGAGGGAAAGGAAGAGAAATAGATATGGAGAGGAATCAGTGGGCCATTTTTTTTCTGGGACGTACGGAGGAATACGCCACAGTGACTTCATTAACTCGTAGATGGCCGTATTCTATTACTGTAGGCTCTTGGGAATCTTGCATGCAAGGGGGAGACAGCAATGAGCAAGAATAGGGGAGAGCTGCTTGTCCCTCTCTTGCTTGCCCGATCAACACGCTTCCAGAGGAGACTGTAGCGATCGAACTCTTTATTCGAATCCCGGGTCTTCCAATGGAGTTCAAGTACCGCCGGAGAAAGTCAAGAAAACTGCGAAGGGGAAGAGGAGAGGCGTCCAGATTGGCGAGGGGAAGATGGCAATTCTCATGTTCCGAAATATCAAAAGGCACCTCTTAAAGTTAAAGTTCTAAATGGGTTACAAATGCTAAAACAATGCATCCCACGTTTCGAAGACTCCCAAAGGGGAATATATGACGCAGTAAGTCTCTCCCAAAAAGGAACAGTCTGTCGCAGCGTTTGAGAGCACCAATTCATGGCTGGCGACGAGCCAGTAGACATGGAGGGTTTTTTTATTATTAAGGAAATCACTGAAACGAAGAGGAGAATCTCAGTTGAGGGTGATGGGTAGTAGCAGGAGGGTCGAGGGTGGAGCCCAAACCCTTGATGGGGAAAGTTTCAACACCCATGGCGATGGAATTCCCACACCCACGTGAAAGGAGGACTTTTGCACTGCAGCGGACGAGAATTACGGATAGATGCCGTCCTTGTGAGTTGTCAAGAAAGAAATACGTTTACTGTTCGCGGGTCGCTTTCTTGGCCGGAAGGAGAAAACCAGGGAATTGGGGGGGGGGGGCGGGCTCTTTGACGGTGATTCTCAAATATCGCAGAACAGAATGTGATACGATGAGATAGAATGCAATATTTAGAGAACTTATAGGTATCATGGGGTAAGGATGAGATGCTTTAGGCGCAATGGATTTTGTCTGTCCCCCCGCCTCTGAAAGCGTGGGGGCGCTCTGTCTTGACGAATCTTACGGATCGGGAAGAGAACAACAGAAAATTTCAGCTGAAAGAAACCAGAGGATTTTCTAGAAGTTATGTGCAGCTTGATCTCTAGAAGCTGAAGCATGGGCGTTCTCACTTTTTAGATGGGTTGTGTTGATAATCAGGGAGCTTTCTTATCTTTTCACGTGGAGACTGTAAGAATTGAGAATTACATTTATAGAAAAACGACTGTAAAAATATTGTATTCAGTAAGAATATCTAATTACTCAACTCTGTTGTCAAGGAATAACGTGACTGGTCAATTTTTAGCCCATGCGGATTTTTTTACCCTGTACACGTCTACCCCGAGCAAGTGGTGGACGAAACAACTCTTCATACTCTCTCTCTCCCCTCCACCGAGGGTGATGCTGACGACAGTCTGAAACTCCATATAACTTGTTCAATATCATTAAGAATTTATTCCTGGTTTGTTAATGCAGTCAACCCATTTGAGGACCAATCTACAAATAGGACCTACCCATGCATAAAAATATTTAGCTTTAATAGTAAATGCAACGTTGAAGGTATTGAAACAAGTAAAACCACAAAATAAAGCTGCCCAGTAGTTTTTGAAAGAGTTTCTTTGAAGGATTTTCAATTTGAAGAAAACTCACAGTGATGTAATTTTATCAAATCTTTAAAATCTATTAGGCGAGATAAATAATATGTTACGTAGATGTAAATAAGACAAAAGTAAAAACTGCCGCATTAATTTTAAAGGGAATTTATTTAGCTTGAAACATAATA